AGGCAACCCTTGATTGACCTCACAGATTGCAAGGACCTTGTCAGCTTACAATTCTTTTGTTTTTTGCGCCTACAGCACCTGGTCTTCCTAGGTGGTCTCCCACCCAAGTACTAACCAGGCCCAACCCTGCTTAGCTTCCGAAATCAGATGGGATTGGGCTTGTTCGGGGTGGCAAGGCCACAGACACAGACCAATGAATTTTGACGTTAACAGTATGAAAAGTTCATTAATGCCACATTGTAATTTATCTTTAAGAAACTACCACTTGTTGAGCTTGAGTGTTCTATCGAGGAATGTTTACAAGTATCTGAAAAAAAAGTATTAAAATGCTTCTCTCTTTTCCAAGTATGGGATGAGTGAGGAAGGGTCTCTCCATATAAAGTCAACCAAAATAATGTATTGAAATGTTTAATACAGAGCAGACACAAGACTCCCAGCTGTCTTCTAGTAAACCAGAGATTTCGAAGATTAGCAGAAATTTAGAACAATGGTACTCTTGTTTTGGAAAATAAAGGGCTTCCCCCTGCCCCTCCCCCCAAATTTATGCTAACATGTAATGGGTTATTTTATAATCAATTATTACTTTTTAAATTTCTCAACTTTAATTTCTATTTCCAGTAAATACCAGTAGGTATTCTCATTTAAACAAAAGCTCTTTGGGGTCCTCAATGTTTGACTGTACAGGGGTCCTGACACCAAAAAAAATTGAACTGCTGGCTGTCCTAAAACCACAAAAACAATAATTAAAATCCACAAATAAAATGAACTATGGGTAGAGAATACACAGAAGCACAAATATACACATATTTCTAACACACCAATGTTTAGGTGTCGTTACACAAGAAGACATAGTCATTAGATGTCTGCCCCTATAAATGGAATCACTGAATGACAGCTGTAAAAGGACTTGAAACTATTAGCAAGCCACATATAAGTGCCACTGCCGTCAGTTAATTTAGAACTGATGAAAAATTCTTGAAGTTAAAAACAAAAGCAGTTCAGTCTCTCAATTTATATACTCGTATCCCTAGCAAAACTACTTGATATTAAAAATGGACAAAAGAAAAGGCAATGTGTACCCTGGATGGATCCTGAGCGAAGGATGTCTTAGCAGTTGGGGTGTTGCTTACCCATATGAAATTAAGATCCTCCCTTCATGCACTAGAATAGGACTTGAGGGGAAAAAAGATCTTGGTCCTACATTAAGCCTAAGAGTTAAGATTTGAAATGGTACTTTAAAATAATCAACCTAGTTGGGCAGGACGTGTGTGGCACGTGTTGTGGTTGTGGTTTTTCCTCCACCAGAGCAGGGACAACTTGGTTCTGCCCAAGCCTGCACTGACCTATATGGTGACCCCAGCACCAGGAGACTATGGAAATGTAGTCTGAAGTTCAAAGATTCAGTTCCTTGACTGCCCTGATCCCATTTCAAGTGACCTGTAACCACATGGGGCCAGTGGCTGTCCCTCTGCACAGCACCCATGCAAGACAGTTCCATCACAGTTCCACTGGAAGGTCCTGGGTGACAGATGGCAGGATTGCCAGACTGCCCTAGATCACACAAGTCTAAGCCCAGGAGACTTTCCAAATGACACACTTTGAGGTTACGTTGCACTGTTCATATCAAAATTGTCACCGCCTCCATGGCAACTGGCACAGGGACGCGCGTTCTAGCCTGAATGCACCAAGAAGTTGCGTGGACACACACACTCACCACCATAATCAAATTTATTATTCCAATGGCACTGATACAGCTGGAGATGCTCATGGTGACATTGCACAAGATTTCCTGCCTTCTAGCTTGTCCAAAGAGAACTGTCTACCTGCTTGTTCTTTCCTCCCTTGAGGAAAATTCCACTCTTTTTAACCCAAATAAACCTCTTAATGCGTTTAAAATCTTTTTTTGGACATTTTGAGTTTCCCTCTGAAATGGAAAAAAAAAAGTGTTGAGTATCCCATCCTGCCTCCCCCGCCAGCCAAATAAGTCCCTGCAGCCAGGGCATTTCTGCTGCCTCTAAAATCCTGAAATAAATATCGAAAGAAACGGCATCAAGTGTTCACGTTGAGCGATGGCACGGAGTGGCCCCAGAGCCTGCCGGGTGAGCGGCACCGTGTCTGGACAGTCTCGAGGTGTCATGAGAATGTGAGGGCTTATCGTCGTGGTCGATCGTGGGCTGGCGTGGGGGCTACACCCAGGTGGCAGGCCGCATGGGGGAGGGGCAGCCTACAATTTGTCCAGGAAGTTGTCCAGGGCCGGGATGCCTTCCTTCAGACCTTTGCGCCTGCGCGTCTCGGCCACCACCTGGCAGGGACGGGTGCCGTTCTCGAAGGGGTCTCCAGGCAGGATCTGCCAGTGGTCAAACACGCACTGCGGGAAGGCCTGGCCACCCGTGTTGGACCTCAGGTCAGCGGTGAAGCCTGCGGGGATGGGCAGCGACACTTATCACACACCAAGTCCAGACAAAACAGGTTGGGCCTGTCGCTCAACCCCTCGACCTGCTCCTAGCCGAGCACCGCCCCGCCTGGGCACCACAGAGTGTAGCTGCTCTGCCGGCCTCAATCCCAAGGTCTCACCACGTCATACTTCCACATCTGCCTCCCAAATCCAGCGACTCAAAGGTCCACAGGTGTGGGCTGCTTCCTCCACATTTATGCCACTCTTATGCTGCTCCCACCTCCCAGATGGTCTGGGAGGCGGGGAGGGGTCAGTTTGCAGATTGCATCACCAGCTCCACCAGGCCTACTCCAGGCCTTGCATAAAGGACAAGAACAAGCTCGTAGAGCAGGCACTTACCAAAAGACTCGTTAACTGGCAGGTAGGCCTTCACCACAAACATGGGGGTGCCGGCCACCTGGGTCTCCTCGAAGACGTGGC